TTTCAACTTTAAGAATAATTTATGAATAAAAAAGTCAACTTTGGGGCAAAGCACAAAACCTTTATTGGTTATGGGTTCAGGGCTTTGGAATGTTAGTATCACTGACAAAAAGCAATTACTATAACTGGTAGCTACCCAAAACTCCTTTACTTACAAAATGGGAAGTCAAGAAATACTGTCAAAAGTTGACCAAAAAAATAGCAAAGGTGTCCTAACAAACTAAAAACAATATAAATGTTAAATTTGAGAGAGGCATAAGCTTAAGGAACTACATTCTCACTTTCATATCAGGAGTTAAAATTGGTAAGTCATAAAATAGTGGTAAGCCCATATTAAAGTTAAGAAGGTGCCCTGGCTGGTTTTGCTCAGTGGATAGAGCGTTGGCCTACAGACTGGAGAGTCTCGGGTTCGATTCCAGTCAAGGGCACATGCTGGGGTTGCAGGCTTGATCCCCAGTATGGGGCATGCAGGAGGCAGCCAATCAATGATTCTCTCTCATCATTGATGTTTCTATCTCTATCTCCCTCTCCCTTCCTCTCTGAAATCAATTAAAAAATATATTAAAATAAATAAATAAATAAATAAAGTTAAGAAGGTAATAACCTAAGAATTAAATACAGAAATATTTAAAAAATTAAATGGTTTTCTTTGTGAGGTTTAAGGAGGTAAAGGAAACCATTGTTTTTCAACAAAAGTCCTTCTGTTCTATTGAATATGTTGCCAAGTGCATAAATCACATTAACAAAAATAATTTTCTACCACATATGTCAAAAATGGCAAACCATGAAAATTATTACTAAAAATTGGGAATGTCAGGCAAATATTATAATTGGAATTATAATTAGGAGTAGGGATAAAATATTTTTTCTTATAGAATACTAGAGGCCCTGTGCCCAGATTCCTGCACCGGTGGGCTCCCTCGGCCTGGCCTGTGCCCTCTCACAATCTGGGACCCCTCAGGGGATGTCAGAGAGACAGTTTCAGCTTGATCCCCACCACAGGCCAGGCCAAGGGACCCCACAGGTGCATGATTGGGGCTGGGGAGGGACCGTGGGCAGGCTCCAGGGTGTGTCCCGCCAGTCTCACCCAGTCCTGATCAGCTAGACCCCAGCAGCAAGCTAACCTACAGGTCAGAGCATCTGCCCTCTGGTGGTCAGTGTGCGTCATGACTGGTCGAGCGGTCGAGCAGACAAACGAGCGACTGGACACTTAGTATATTAGGCTTTTATTATATAAGATTATTCAAATAAAAATTTTCTGCAAGGTTTGAAAGTTCTGTTGAAGCCAGATCATTCTTTATATCTTTACTTTCTGGTTTATGTACAATAAACATATATTCCATTTATAATCAGAAAATTTTTATTTTATTTTAATGTGATCAATGTTCAAAGTCAGTGATGTGCCAGGTTGCTAAGAGCCCAATACCTACACACACATCCAGCCTGATTTATGATCTTTAGAGGACAGCAGGAACAATGCAGTCATTTTCAGAGGCCATGTGTTTTAACATTTGATCCTTTATGGTTATATGCTACCCCCGTGGTTGGCAAACTGCGGCTCGTGAGCCACATGCGGCTCTTTGGCCCCTTGAGTATGGCTCTTCCTAAGCCTTAGGAGTACTCTAATTAAGTTAATAACAATGTACCTACCTATATAGTTTAAGTTTAAAAAATTTGGTTCTCAAAAAGAAATTTCAGTCATTGTACTGTTGATATTTGGCTCTGTTGACTAATGAGTTTGCCAACCACTGTGCTACCCTAAAGGAATGCCTGAACAGCAAAGGAAAGGGGTGAATGCTCAGAAAAGGTGCCCTTTAAGAGGTTACCAGAAAGTGATTACATCATATATCTAGGAACAACCTTCCCTGAAAAAATTACAAAAAGCTCTTTAAAGTATCTTAGATGTCCAGGCTTTGTCGTCCATAAAGTTCACTGTTCAGTGGGTGAAGTGAGCGGGGATAAAGGTGGCTGGGGAAAATGGAAAAGTGTTCAATAAACAGAGGGCAACAGATTAGAGGTCCAATCCAGAGTCCACCAGTAAATGACCACATGACTTTCCCAAAGTAAAATAATTACCTTTTTCTGAACTCAGTTTTTTTAGAAAAAAAGTTATTCATTTCTGATTTATGAAGCCCTAGCCTCCTGACCTAGAATTCTACTGCTAGCCCCGTTTCACAAATGTTGGAGCAAAGTAATGAGCAGATTTTATGAAAATTAAACCAGGGTCAGTTGCCATCATTTTTCGCACTTCTATTTATTCCTCCATAATACAGTGCCTTTTGAGGTTGTGCAACAAAGTGTAACATATTACATTTACCTTACTCCAACTTAAAGTTCCGATAGAAACTCAGAGAGCCCTGGCCAGTTGCTCAGTGATTAGAGCACCAGCCCTCAGACTGAAGGCTTTCGGGTTCGATTCCCAGTCAAGGGCATGTACCTCGATTGCAGGTTCAGCAGTGATACATCTCCCACTGCAGGATGTATCTCTCTCCCTCTCCCTTCCTCAGTTAAAAAAAAAAAAAAAAAAAAAAAAAAGAACTTCAGAGAACTTTGGGCAGATTGCTAATCTCAGAAGACAATAGTCATGCCCTGCTGGCTTGGCTCAGTGGTAGAGCTTCAACCAGGAGGTCACTGTTAGATTCCCGGTCAGGGCACATGCAGAGGCGGCCAATCAATGATTCTCTCTTACTGATGTTTCTATCTCTCTCTCCCTCCCCCTTCCTTTCTGAAATCAATAAAAATATATTAAAAAAAAAAAAGCCCTGCATGGCTCAGTGGTTGAGCGTTCGATTCCTGGTCAGGGCACATGCCCGGTTTCAGGCTCAGTCCCCAGTGTGGGGCATGCAGGAGGCAGCTGATCAATGATTCTCTCTCATCATTGATGTTTCTATATCTCTCCCTCTATATCAATAAAAATATATATTTTTTAAAAGACAATAGTCATGATGACTTAATTTAATTCCTTTAGCTACTTGGCCAAAAAATTTCCAGGGATAACATCAGTTCAGGCTATCCTACTATTTATTTTTTCAGCTGTTATTTTCACTGAGGATCCAGTAAAATGAAGATGCACTTTGCTTTGGGTTGGGGAGTGGTTGTAGTTGGGGAGATGGGCAGAGGGATCAGGGCAACTTTCTCTAAACTCAGACCAACTTCCACTATTACCCACGTTTCACAAAGATAGTTCTGAGCTATTCCAATCATTCAAAATGTGTATAAAAGGGAATTATTTTGTTTTGCTTTTATTTGAGGGTTGTTTTTTTTTTTCCCTATCTTTCCTCAGATAATGGGTAAGCCCAGCTCTTATTTCTTATATACTTTTCTGTGTATATTCACAAACAGTTTAAAAATCATTTGGGCCCAAAAATGATCCCCCCAAATTACTGTTAATTATTATGTCTTCCATTTCTAGAAAATTCACAATAAAATATTCAAAACTGCATTTACCATTAATACAAAAGTCTAGTTATTTTGGACCTTTATTAACTATAGAATCTAATGTCATCCTTCAGAACAACATCATCACATTTAAGAAAATGTCATGTTATTACATCACACACTGGAATTCCACTAGTCATTTAAAACTCATAGGACTGAGTACATGTCCACACTGTCACTGAAAAACAGGGAGAAGACCAGTGGTGGGATAAAATGGCCATCAAGTCTGTTCCAAGACAAGTGCTTCCCAGCATTGCACCAACCCCAGAAATAAAATAAAGAACTCCTCCTCCTTGCACAAGATGTCCAACAGCTTGGGATGAGGAAGAAATCCTTGGTCACCAGTGTGAGTCAAAGTGCTGGTTATAATAAACCTCATCCATTACTGTATATTCTTTATCAGGGCCCTCCGATAGCAATCAAAGTATCAAATATTAACACCAAAGAAAGGACTAATTATATTTTTAAAATAGCATGTAATGTCTTAACTTTCAAACAAAGGCTGCACCATCAAAGAAACATGGACTTTAAATAAACAAACTCTAAAGGCAAGTTCTTCGAAGAGAAGTTTCCCTCAGTGGCTGTGAACAGCCGGCTGGTGCAGACACTCCTGAACCAAGTGGTCCAGTTGGCACAACTTCCATCTAGGGCCTATGGATAGCCTGAGCCTCCAAGACCTCACAGGTTACCTTTTAAGTTCCAACTTGGTTTCTCCTCTGGAATATAATTATCTTAGAGTACCACAATTGAACAATTTTCTTTATATCTGTGAACCTATTTTCCTGTACAGTCTCTAACATGAATCTAATTTAAAATTCATTACATCAGAAAGCCGAACAACGTGAAGGGAAGAATGACAAAGTAGGCTCCTGATTCGATGGTATTTTAGGTTACCAAGTATGACATAATACAACTCCTGACCCAATTTCCACACAATGCATTTGTCCAGACCACAACTACTTCACCAGCAGTTGCTAATTACATCACTGTGCTGTGTGGTCATTACATCACCCAGCTGGGAGGTAAGGCCTACCAGGCAGTGTTCACTTTTCCAGCTTTTCCCCAGAATAGGGAGACTGCAGACCACCGAGAGTCCCTCTTCTCCTCCAGTCTCAGAACTTTTCTCACATGTTTTTGGTGTCACATCTCAATGGACCAGGTATCTGACTTAGAATGGACAGGGATGGGGTAAGGGTTTGTGCCCAGGAGTTTGTATCAATACTCCAGATTCAGGGCAAAGTCCCTAAGTGTTTCATGAGAATCCTCCCAAAACTACTTTGATGTCTCCTATCTCTAAGCGTTTCCAAGTCCTGAATGTCCTGGAATGCCCTGGAAGAACATCACCAGAGTCTTTGCTTCTGTTCCTTTACAATTCCAATATCCAGGGATCCACTCCTTACTTCCAGCTTCACAATATTTGGGAAAGAACCCTGGAAAGACACACAATCACACACACACACACACACACACACACACACACACACACACACACACACGTGCACGCGCACCTCGGTATTGTGACTCTGCCCCCTACCTCCTTCCCCCCGCTCCAGGCTGACTTACTTGAGGAAGTACCTCTGGCCAGTGGTCGTGAAGGTCATCTCCCAGCCCGGGGGGAGCGGCAACTCGTCAGTCACGTCGTAGGATTGCTGGCGGAGGTGCGCGTGCTGCTGCGCGGCGCTGATCGCTGCGCCCGCGCCTGTGCCCAGCTGCAGGGACGCGGGCGACGAGTGCGAGCGGACATGCTGGGCGCCGCCGGCCAGCCGGGGCCCCGGGTGGCCGCCGGAAGAGTCGGTGCTGGACTGGCGCGAGTGCGAGCCGGAGTCAGGCTCTTTGAAGAACGATTCGGGCAGGATCTTCTTCCGCCACGAGCTGGGCTTGGGGTTCATGACCGAGTTGAAGAGGGCTTCGAGGTCCGTGTCTAGGTCCGGCGTGACATGGATCACTTGCTGCCCGGGCGGCGGGAGCGGATGGGGCGCTGAGGCCGGATTCATCTTCTACAAGGAAAAAGGTCAGATCAGCCTTTTATTTAAAGTCGGAGTAGGAGATACGGGGAGAAAATGGAGAGAAAAGAAAAAGATACAGATACGTATCCGACTCGAGATCCCAGACACTCAGCCAGGAGACCAGCCGCATGGGGGAGGAGTCCCTCCTGGCCTCCAGAATTATGAAACTTTCTTGGAGCAAAGAAGTTACTGAGAGAAGGAAGAGCGGGGGGGGGGGGGGGGGGGGGGGGGGGGACTGCACTCCGGACGTTGCTGAACTGTTGGTGGCAAAGAACAGGTCGCAGCTCTCCAGGGCAGGCAGCCCCCCAAAGAAATCTCAACCCAAGCCAACTCCACATCTCGACCCCGGAAGCCCGAGGAGCCGGGCACCCTGGAGTGGTGCGCGGGCGCGCTCCAGCGGGCACTACCTGGGCGCGCAGCGAAGCCAAGTCTGGGCGTCGGGCCTGGGTCGCTCGGGGTGCGTCCCGATCTTGCAGGATTGGAGCCGGAGCCCGGTTGGCAAATCCGGACCGGCCTCGGTACCTGGCAGTCGAGGAGCTTTGGCTTTCACATCCCCCAAACTGGTCTCAGGCCTTCGCGCTCTTGAAAGAGGAGGAGAAGCAGACAGCGCGGCCGCCGCGGCTCTCCGACTGTCCCATAAACAAAGTTTGGAGCAAACTCCCACTCCCAGGAAAGAGGCGGGCCCGAAAGTTGAGCTGTTGAATTATGCATGATTGCAAGTCCTGAGCCTGCCTGCCCCCGCTTGTCCCTCCCCCCGCTTCTCCTCCTCCTCCTCCTCCTCCTCCTCCTCCTCCTCCTCCTCCTCCTCCTCCTCCTCCTCTTCCTCCTCCTCCTTCTCCTTCGTACTCCTCCTCCTCCTTCCACCCTCACTCTGGCTCCAGGAAACCTTGGGTGTGATGCGTACTTTGCAGGCTAAGTGGAGAATGTTGCCCCCCACCCACTCTTGGTCGCGCGGACCTCTCCCGCGGAGTTCTGGAAGTGCATTCCTTTGAGTTTACAGTGGACTTGGGGCGGATCAAAGGGAAAGTGACCTGGGCCTGTTTAATCAAGGGCTTGTGGACCGAAACCAAGGCCTGGGGCGGCGGAGGGCTCGCGGGTGAGGGGCCCTGGCGGAGGAAGGGCGGGTCCTTGGCGCCGCGCCCTCCCTTCGCGCCCGGTGCTGAGGCCCGGAGCGACGGGAGCGCCGCACTAATCCTGGGTTTCTGCCCGAGGGCGGGACCGGGTGCGCCCCTGCACGCGGAGACACCAAGGCCAGCCTTCACACAGGAGGCTGCTTGTGACCATATTTGGTCTGGCGAGGAGGCATCTGGGTTGTTTGGCTTTCAGTTGTCTGCTCGAGCACAGAGGGTGCCCAGAAAATGCCTCTCGTTAGGGATGCGGCTCCACCAACAGGCGCGTTGTAAACAAACAACCTTCAGCCCACACTTCAATCCTTAGCTTCCTCTCGGGGGGATCTCAGGTCACTAGAGATGGAGAAGAAATTTACTGAAAGCTGGGTGCTGGAATGGGAGAGCAGTCGTCCCCTCCCCCGCCACAAGCGCGCGGGTGGTGGGAAGATTGGAATGTCCCTGACGCCCACCAGAGAGCCTGGAACCCGGATGGAACCCAAGCAGGTGGCTGGGAGTAAAGAGGGTGCGCCAGTGACCCGGAAAAAAACCACTCACCCTCCCACGACTGGATCTGGGCGAGGGTGGAGCCCCCTACCCCTAGATCTAGCCTGGCTAGACAGCTGGTAGAAGTAGTAGGCGGCCTTGCCCTCCGGAGAAGTTCAATGACATCTCTCCTCTCTCCATTGGGGGAAGTGGAGAGTGGCTACGAGGTAAGTCATGCTTCAAAATACCCCTACCCCGCCCCATTTGATTCATATCAAAGTTTATAAAATAAGTTAAAAAACGCAATATATGTAAAGCACTTTGAACAGGACCCAGCCCACCTACATACCTGTTTGTTAAATAAAATAGAATTGTATTAAGTGTAAGTATTGTGCCTCAACATTTTTATAAGGGTGAAAAGAAGTCAAAATTAAAATCTAAAATTGTCTTGAAGAAACAATTTACAGGAAAGATAAGGCCACCCTATAATTTTGCCTTGAAAAAGGTGGGAGTATTTGGGGCCACTCCCTCAATGGCTGCTGCCCATCACTGCCCCCAAAATAGAGCAGAGCCCACCAAAGTGAACCACCTTCCCCCTCCCCCCATTATCTGTTCTTGCTGGTATACTCTGATTCCAGACTCCCCACAAAGTGGTAAAGATCAAGCTGCCCTGGCTGATGGATTCATGGGCAGGGCACATACCTAGTTTGCCAGTTCATCCCAAGACAGGGCACATTCAGAAGGCAGCTGATCAAGGTTCTCTCTCTTTCTCTTCTCTCTCTTCTTCTTTTCTCTCTCTCCTCCCCCCCCCCCGCCCCCCCCCAAAGTTAAATAAGCATGCCCTCAGGTGAGGATTAAAAAAAAAAAATCAGGGCTGCCTTAGGGAAAGACAGCCATGTGGATCACCTTCAAAGTTAAGCAGAACATGACTCTTTTCAGGAGACTGGAATCTGGGGTTTCCCATACAGCAAGTCCTGTTCCCACAGGACCCACATAGGGAAAGGGGAAACCACCAAAAGTCACTCCATAGGAAATAGCATATTTGTAAAAGCTATCTTCAGAAGCCCCCAATTTTGACAATTTTATTTATAAAACTACAGGAAGTGACAGGGACCATATGGTTACTAATTCAGAAGCCACAAGGCCATCCTCATGATTAGAGGGTGGAAACTTGAGGCTAGCCCTACTCCAGGAAGGTTGTCACCCAAGAAGGAAGACCCTGCTTTGTAAAGAGTACCTGGCTGTTACAAGAGAAGGAAATGCTGAGGGAGCCATGAAGCTAATCCTGCAGTGAGAATCAGGGTTGGGATTGGGTAAGGATGTTGTCTTCATTTCTTGCTAAGCTTCAAGAAATAATGGAGGATAGAGGAGCAAATACCTGAGAGGAAAACCGAATAGCAGAATAACTCAAAGAGAAAACTCTCAGTTCCCAAACAGCCTATAAGATGTGATAGCAAATGGTTAAAGAGATTTGCTTGAATCCTTTATCCTTCAAATTGCTTCAGGTTAAATAACATTTACATTGCCTTGTATGTATCAGGTACTGCCCATATGAAGCAGCATGGTATAGCAGATACATAGCCTGCATTTTCTTCTTTGGAAAGTATGTCCAATCCTCACAGGATTCTAGATCTAAACACTACACAGGCATTCCTCTGAGATAATGCAGGTTGAATTCCAGACCACCACAATAAAGCACGTATCACAATAACACAAGTGTAATCTTTTTGTTGGTAGAAGGTCTTGCTTCAATTTGTAAAAAACAAAAAAATATTTGTTAGTGCAATAAAGCAAAGCACATTAAAAGGAAGTATGCTTGTACAAATTTTATCTCTTGACCCACGGTTTAGAACACAAGCTTTGAAGTACCTAGCTCTAATCCAGTGATGGCGAACCTTTTGAGCTCAGCGCGTCAGCATTTTGAAAAACCCTAACTTAACTCTGGTGCCATGTCACATATAGAAATTTTTTGATATTTGCAACCATAGTAAAACAAAGACTTATATTTTTGATATTTATTTTATATATTTAAATGCCATTTAACAAAGAAAAATCAACCAAAAAAATGAGTTCTCGTGTCACCTCTGACACGCGTGTCATAGGTTCGCCATCACTGCTCTAATCTCTGCATTGTCAAATAACTAATCCTCCTTAAATCACAGATTACTTATTTACGAATTGGAGATAATATCGAATAGTCTGTGACTTTGTTGCCCTTCAATGGACCACCCTCCTGTTAGTCACACCTTCGTGGAGACCCTTCCACTTAAATCTGGACTGAGCCAGTGACTTGCCTTTGCCAGGAAAATGCAGCAGTGGAACTGTGCTAGTTCCCCACCTAACCCTTGAGAAAATTGGAAGTTTCTGCTTAGAAGTCTTAAGCCACTAGGTAAGAAGTCCAATTACTGGAGAAAGCACATGGAGAGAGAGAAAGTGAGGCTCTGAGATATGTGAAGAGAGGGAGAAGTCCAGCCATGCCAAATCTGAGCTGCACCCAGCCCCCAGCCAACCCACCAGTTGACTGCAAACACATCAGGGACAGTAAAAGAACCAGAAGCTAGCCCAGCCCAGATTGTAGACCTGTGAGCAAATAAAATGGATAGTTCTAAGCCACTAAATTTAGGAATTTTTTTTAATACAAAATGGAGAGTCTACACATTAAATAAGAAAATGCAAATAAAGTTTTTAACACAAATTCTGTTACATACTAAAGCACTCAACAAATAATGGCTGTGATGTAAGACCCCAAAGAATAGATAATATATTATGTATCCCCATTTTATAGATACAGAAACTGGCCCAATGGATTTTAAAGTATTTTGTCCAAGTACGTACAATGAATTTGGAAAAACAAAAAAACACCTGGGATTCAGCCCAAGGTTCATAATCCTAGATCAGATTGCTTTTTTCTACTCTCCCAGCCTGTGTGAGCCAGAAGTTTCTCCCTGTTATTGTCATTTTAAATCAGTGTGATATCTATTGCCTGCCTATCTCATAGAGAAACTCCATAGTGCTTATAAGATAATTCAGAAGACACTCCTGGCCATATGTAAATCTTTCTCCCCATTTGCAAAGATTTTCCACTGGAAGTTCATGACTACTTCCAAAATTTCCCCTCAACACACTTCCTACTGAAAGCGTCCCTCCTCCTTCTCTGTCCACATCCAATCAGGTAAGTGCTGTGGACATTTTCTTCTGGTTTCCCTCAAATTCACCCCTGCTGTCCCTCCTCCCCCTATGGGACTTTATCTGAAAGTGCTGCAGTGGCCTCCTAACTGGTTGTTCTGCCGGCAGTCATTTCTGGCCTCCTGTTTTCATGATGTCATCTCTTGGCTCACAAGGTTTTAGCAACTGCCCACAAAAATAAAGGTCAAAGCTATTAATCTAACCCCAAAGTCTCCCAACAAACTGCCATCTCCTAGCTTTCCAACCTTGATTCTTACACAAATGTGTCCTTCATCCGCTCCAAGCTCGGATCAAAGCATATTTGGCCTGTTCCTTCACCACGGCTCTCTCTTTGTTTGAACCCTGCTCATAACTGCCCTCCATACTCCGTTGTCAGCCTTCATTAATCTCTCCCTTCTTTCCCCTACATTCAGGTTGTTCTTTCTTTTTCACTCCCTTGACACACAATTATACATAACACTGCCTTATAACTTTTACCTCAGTATCACTTGCCTCCCCAACTGGCTGGGAACTAGCTATGGGGCCACGCTAGAAGCATCTTACCTTGCTTTGCGGAATTGTTCTGGAGGCCGTCATTCCCATTGCTCTCTCAGCACCACTGGTGTACTCGTCACAATTTTTAAGGTATCGCCCCATCATTCACAGCAATTTTGGCACTGTGTATGGACTCAACTCCTAAACAGGACCACAAGCTTTTTGAGGACAATTGTAAGAGGACTTCATTTTCTTTTTGTTTTTCCCCATGCGTAATAGAGAGTTCTCCACACAGGAGTGTCCAGTACATGTGGTCACCTCACCCAGTGGCTGTTGTCCCGACTATGTTCATCTGCCATTTTTGCCTCAGGTCAGCCACAAGCTGCTTTTCTCAACCCTATGCCCCTGAATTGCTGACTTGATCC